TCTTTTGTGCTCTAAGGCTCACTTTCTGAAAGTTCTTATCCTCTTTTAAACTATTTCTGTATATATTTACAGATTTCAATGCTCTTCAATCACATAACATTTTTAAAAATATATTTTTAGGCATTTATCTGGACATTTAAGGATTCTGACAAATTAAAAAATTAATCTTTATTAAGTGTAAATTTGTTGATACTCCTAGAAAGGCCTAAATGTTGAAGAAATCAGGACTTGGAAGTACCAAGTCATTGGCAGAGCTAGGACCACAAGTCATTACCTTTTGTCTGTATGCTAGGATGCTCTTTTGTTATTTTTAAGTCCAGAGTAGACATTGTCTGATTGAATCTCCTCTTACTTATTGAAGTTATGGAATGAGAAACTTAGTCATAGATGAGAGTCCATGTGTTTACTGAAGCATTTCATTTTTATAGATTTCTCAAGAACTGATAAAACTAAACAAGAAACAAAAATATACCCAATAACAGATGAGCTCAGGCAAAGCCATGGTAATTTGCAGGTGGATTGGGAGATGCTAAGACTTTATGTGATTTTCCTTGGAGGCTCTTAGAGTAGGCTTCTGAAGCAATGTGGATTATAGATGAGCAGGGCTAAAGCAGATAAGGCCACAGTAGCCTTTGGTTCTCTTAATTACTGGCTTTTGTAACCTATCTAGAACTATTATGATGGTCTTTTGGACCCTTGGCACTTACTTTAAAATTGCACATGATACAATCTGCTTTGTAAAATAATGCTGAGCTATGACTACTGTTCTAATATCAAGATAAAGATAAAATTTTAAGGTCCACACCTTTTTGTACTGGGGAGACTCATCATATGTGGTTTCCGGTAGAGAGTGCGACATGTTTACTTTAATAATAATGGTCATTCATAAGGAATAGAGCCCGATTCTGTGGTTGTGGGATGATGATACCATTGATTCATGGACATATGGCAACAGTGGAAAACCAGTTGTGAATAATGAAGGACACCTGATTCTTACTCCATGCCTTTGTGGAAGCTGATAATATTGGAAGAGATGGAAAAATAAAAATGGTTATTACCCATTTCCTAAAAACAGTGAATATAGTACTGTAAAGATATGCAGTTGTATAAATAGAGAGAAGCTGAGATTATTCCAGGACCATTCTGTTTCTAGGCTATGCATATATGCCTTGCTCTTCTCATCTTTATACGTGGAGCTTTACATTTTCATCGCTTTTGGAACTTCTTTGGTGTATAGGCAGAAATGAAAAGAAGGGAACATCTAGACAACTTCATTCCTTTTAATCAGTTCTTTAAAAAAAAAAAGTTTAGTATTTCACTAAAGAGGACCCTATACAGATGAGCAGTTGTCTGTGGACTCTAATCACCCAGAGCCCCAGCTGAATGTTATGGTCAAGGCTGTTTGAGATATGATAAATTGTCTCAGTCTCCTTCACCCAGCACAGTTAATTTCTTGTTGTTTTAGGGTCATATGCGAAAAAGGCTTGTCGATATTTGCACTTTCCTGAGAAGAGAATCCCTAGCTTTCACCCCATACTAAAATAATAATAATTATTTAAAATGTAAAATTAAGTTATTTTACATTTTAAAAGTAATTATTAATAATACTAAAATAATAATATTCTTTGAAGAAATCAGTATCTCAAACTAAGCTGAGGACCATTAGAAAATATACTTTCTACACCTTTCTAGATTTTAAGCAACCAAACATCGAGAACTTTGTTTCTTACTGATAAGAATTTCCCCTAGCGCTTGGCAATTGTCCCTTTCACAAATGCTGTTTCATGGATGAATTTTAGAATTGAATGAAGCTGGGCCTAATTCCTTGGGCCCCATTAGGGTGCTCCATTAGAAACTTGGGTTCCACACTGACCTCCTTCAGGCAAAAGAAATTTATTGAATAGAACAACATCCATTTACTTACCCAATTTATTTAGTTTCCTTTCCCACTCAAACTTTTGCCAACTCTAAAATAAGTAGAACATAACTGATGGATTCACATTATCTTCAAATCATACCTGAGTAAAAAGGAAGAATGAAAATGTATGTCCAAGTTATGAACAAGTGTAAATACCTGAAGAGGCTGAATCATCCACAGTTTAACTTTTTTACAGAGGCGCCTTCCCAGGGTGAATGCCACATTAAAAAAAGAAGTTATTAATTAAAAAAGGAAAAGTATACAGGGTCTCTGTGATATAAGTCTTGTCCATAAAGAGTAATCTAAATGAGAAATAAATGCACGCAAAATATTAAGCAACTAACATGTCCTGGGTGGGAAAGAAAAAATAAAGCCCACTGTGGTAGCATTCCTACATTTTTTGACTTCTCTGAGAATCAGGCGCCAGCACAAACAATAGAATAGAACATTAAGAGCACATTATATGAAGGCCCCTCAAAATGTATCTCACCAACCACTAGATTAAAATCACCCCACTGGGTAGTATTTTAAAAAGTCACCAAGCCATATTAGCAAAGTAATTACCAAGGTTAGCAAAGTATGATTACAGTGTTACCAACCTCTTTTCATTAAAATATGAAATATTTTCCTTAATGGTAATCGTGCTTTCAGTGGATGGAGCAGGATATGTTTAGGTGGATTTTAATAGCTACAGAGAAAATGTCTACTATTTAACATGAATTCAATACAATCATGCCATTAATGAAAGTACCATCAGTAGTCAATCAGAGAGTAACTATAAGCAAAGTCAGGCGGATTTTGCTGTAGAAATACAAACACAAAACGGCTACATTATGATTTCTGCATTCTGTATCTGTGGGTTTTTTTTTTTTTCCTTTTGGCAATGTTCCTTTTTATTTGTTTATTTGTTTTAAGCTCTGTAGCCATTACTGGTCATTTCAGTGGGTCTAGGATCAGAGGGCAGGAGCCCAGACCAAGTTTGTAAGAGCCCCCATCACTCTTGGCATGAATGCATCACCCCCATACTCAATGGGCAGCTACTGATTTCCCAGGATCATTTTAATCCTCCCCAAAATGCTCCCGTGGTTTCTGGAATTCCCAAGGCTTTCAGAGAGGTTGGAGCTATAGTTCTCAATGCTTGCTATACATCAGAATCACTGAGGGAGCTTTAAAATAATACAGATATTTGGATACTGCTTCCAAAGATTTCTGCTTCACTCATTCTCTGGTGGGACCCACATTACGTGGTTTCTGGGAGATGCTCGGGTAGTTCTGGTGTGCACACAGGGCTGAAGATCACTTGTGTAGATGTATCACCAGCTTAGCTTGACAGAGCCCGAGTGTAAGAAATCGGGAGTATCTTTAGGAACTGTAAGAACACACTTTATGAAATATATAAAATGGTATCAAAATAGTCTGAAAGAGTTTACCCTCTTCGTGTCTGAGATTTCTAAATCCAGCAAGTGCATAAGATATTATCCAACAACAGTCTCATTAAGAATTTGATTATCTAACCTGCCAGGAAATGCTTGACCACATACAAACCGTGACAGGGTCTGATCCCAACAGATGTCCTTGTAAAGCACCTGTTGAAGTGAACTCTGCCACTGGCCCTTTAAATGGGATGGAGTTGTTTTAGTTTTCCAAAAGTAGTGGACCAGTTGGAATGCTAGAAATGCACATTTGCTGCTTACGTTCCATTCTAGTAAACCATCTCCAGAATCTCTGTGCTGATCTTTTGATTGTGTAGTTAATGAGAGAAGTCTGCAAATGCCATCAGGATTGGCCAGCAGCCTCGTTAATGGAGGTTTATTAGAGGGAGCCAATAATGAAAACTTAGGTTGTTTGTACCCTCTCATGAGTCTGTCAAGAATTGTTAAAAACTGGAACTGTGGTTGTAACTTGGAGAATGTTAAAACCTCACCTAGAAAGCCGTTTCACATTTCTTCCAAGCGAAGAGTCTAAATTTGTGTTTGATTATAAAGGAATAGCTAAAATGTGACACGGCTTAACGCCAAGCATGCCTATGAGTGACTCTATCCAGAAACTGACCTGAACGAGCAGCCTTAGGATCGTCCGCTCAAGTGCATTCATTGTGTCTATCTATAGCATAGACGGCATCGGGTACCACCTGGCTGAAAGTCATGGGTTACACAGAGCTATGCAAATACTTTATTTTGGAGACAGCTGAATTACTCCCTGACCTGACATGAGTGAGAGGGAGGGTCATCTTCACTGTTATGCCTTCCTGCCCTTTCTAAAAATAGTAGGGCCTTTAATAAGAAGATATTTTAAGCCTCTCATATTCACTTGTCTCATCAGGAGAAGCTTATTTTGGCCCCTTGCATGTGTCAGATGTGCATGGGGCATAGCTAGACCTCGGAGCGCGGTCTTGCTCCTGCACAGCGCTCATATAAGACAGTGGCCAACATAAAGTCGCTGGGATTACCAGCTGAGAGGCAGTGGGTAAACATAAACGAAGGGGAGATACTGCTTAGGAATGTGAATATGCTTCCGAAATCCTCCATTTCATGGAGGGCCCATCAGTCCTCCGCTTTTCGGATCTGTTTTCCTAAAACCCGGCTGTGAAGTTGCTCCAGAGACCTCAGTGATGTTGCCGCTTTTAATAAATACTGGTAGGAGCCACTACCAGCCTGTGGATAAGGGAAACTCATGAGGAACTGCCATCCCAAATCTGAACAGCAAAACCAAAACCGGGCAAAACCACAAATCCCAAAACAAAACCCAAAAAGAACCACCCCAACAATCCGTGCCCGCAAGAAGACGCACAGGAAAGCATTGCGATGTAACTTTGACTTGGTGACTGGACCTATCAGTCACGTGACTGGCAGGCACCAGGTAGTTTGTCTTATTCTCCTTTGAAAAACAAGTGCAAATCTTGGTTGTTCTGCACAACGGGGACCAAACAATTATGCTTGGGAGGAGACACAGACTCTAGAAGCAAGATGGAATTTGAGCAGGTAAACCCCGAGCCACAGGCCTGTCATTCCGGGGCGGTCGTGCGTGGTTCTCGTGTTTGCGCCTCTAAGAAATTTCCGTTTTTTCGCATCAAAAAATCCAGATACGAAGCCGAAGCTGCTTTCTTCGCCAACCTGAAGCTGTCTGACTTCAACATCATCGACACCCTCGGAGTCGGAGGCTTCGGACGAGTGGAGCTGGTAGGTGATTCTTCTTTACATGCTCTGGGGAGCCCCTCTTCCTGTTGCATTTTTCCCTGTAGATTAAGATTTCTTTCTACTCTCTCATCATTACTTTTTACTGTTCCTGAATCCGTACCAAATGCTTTCATGTCCGCACGTCCGAGTGTGAAACAGGTACAGTGAGCTATATATATTATGTAGCCTGTAAACTGACAATAAAAAATATATATATATTTTTTTTAGAAAAACCTCCTCATAATAAATGAAAGGTAAACACATTAACTTGACGAGGAGCCATAAAATGCTTTTTACCCAGCTGATATTCTGCGACCTCTGCTTCCTTAGTTCTGAGCAGTGCTCACCAACTTAGTCATGTGCCCTACCTACATGTAAGTTTAAATATAGAGAGGGAAATGGGATTTATATATATATATATATATATATGTTATATGTAGATACATACGTAATATAATACATACATGTGTATATATATTTCATTTCCTTTATATATATTTAAATTTACATTTTAATTATTGTAGTTGTAGATCAGGTACATGAATAAGTTAGAGAATATGGCTCAGAGCTAGGGAAGCAAATAAATGGTAAAATCTATATTTAATTAAAGAGGTTTAATACTGCTTTAAAACTTTAAGGAAACATAAATAACGTTCTAGTATTAATTCTGTGATTCCGTAGCAAGCACCTAGTTATATTAGATAATATTTTAGAAAATATGGTTTGAATATTTCACACACGTTTGTGTACACAAACACATACAGGTAAGTGTCAGGATGATGGGGACATTTTGGTGCAAATTTATTCATTCAACATATTGCATGAATGTGGTGCAAACCAAACGAAAGCATAGCCTTTGAAATATAAATTTAAGAACTGGTCTGTTACAAGATAGACCAGAAAAAAAAAATGTATTCTGGTAACTGAGTTGCTGCATTCGGAGACGGTGTGGATATAACCTCTGTTGAGAAGGCAGATAAATTTCCACCTCTCTGCTGAACCTGGAGGAGCCCCTGATATCAGATACCAGTACAGTATGTTAGGAACTCCCTGTACAGTGCAGTAAACAGTTACTGTTGCCATCAGGGACAAGAGAAATCCCCTTCCATAAAAGCAGATTGACCTGGCCCTGTGTTTGATATTTGTCCATTTGTGCTGCAGTTGGGATTCCTGGCTTTTGACAGGCAAGAAAAATGCCATTTACTTAAACATGAGACAAGAAAATAACTAGACAAGAAAATTTCGAGCCATGGTGTGTTTCGTTGACTTGGCATTAGGCTTCCGGTAACACTGGTTGGAGATGCTATATAGTCAGGCTGCTTCTGACTTGACGTCTGACGTCCTAGTGAGGATTTTCGGCTATAGGAATACAAATCGGGGGTCTAGGAAAACTTGTTTCTCTGAATTCTGCCAGTCAACACAGTCTTTGGTTTCGTTTTCACGAACTTTGCTTTTGTGACAAAATCTAACTGTTCTTAGAGCTAGTGAAGGTTTATTACCAGTGTTATATTTGTCCTGGGGTGTTGGGGCATATAAACAGGTCGGGGGGCAGAGGTCCTTGCCAGGAATAGCGTATTGTCTGCTGTGTTTATTTACATACCTGTATGTATCTCCACCCCTTTCTGAATGAAGCACTATATGGACAGAACTCCCTAGAGGTTGATTTTGTGACTTGTAGTTTCTGAAGTATCATTTTGTAAAGACTTTGGGCAATAAAATTGTTGTCTTAGTTGACCAAAAAAAATTTATGTCACAAATTTGTGGATTCTTAAAGGTCTGAGGATCTCAAGTTGGGGACCTTTAGGTCACCAGTAAGGTATTTTATGAAATAGAGTTTACTCTGGATGTTTGAAATGCTGAAGGTTGTTCATAGACACTGAAATCACTACAAGCTGAACAATTAAATGCCAAGCTGACAGTGGAAACCTTCTAGAGACTTCCCTCAAAAATGTCTGAGGAGGCACCACTAATCAGAAAATTAGGGAAAGCTCAGTGTGAGCATATAAAAGGTGACCATATAAAATGTGGTTTAAAAAGACAAAATACCTGTGTGTTTGTGTGTGTGTACACATTCATAATCTCCATCCCAGGAGAGAGTCAAGGGTAGTTCAGCCTAATTTTTTTCTCATGGATATTATATTTTACTCTTCCACACGGATGTTTATAGACTAATGAAAACCATAACCTCAGGAATTAATTTTAATTGGAGTCCAGTTTGCAAAAACGTTAGATATGCTCATGAATGATAAATCCATAATGGGCCAGGTAGGCACAACCAGTACATTAGAAAAGAGGCACGTGGTTTTAACCTCTGAAGTGACATCTTCATGTCATGTGATTTTGCACTTCCCCAGAAACCCCTTGTGAAAATCAGAATACCCAGATTGTCTTCACTGTTCGATGTGGACTAGCCAGTTAGGTGATGACTCTTGCCCTACAATTCATCGTCCCCTGTTCTTACCACTTACTCACCGCCTGAGAATATTAATTTTGGGGTATGAAAAGTATTCTCCTCTGTGATTGTTCGTTTGTCACATGTGTTCGGTGATGCCAGAATTGGGAGTCTGGCCTCAGCGCTTTGACTGTTGTCATCGTGAATAGTCATCTCCGCGAACAGTCATCGCTGCGAATAGTGAATCGCCATGAACTTGGCACAGGGGGCAGTAGAGTGCACCCTCAGACCAGTACGCACGCCATTCTTAGTGGGAGAGGACCAGGCTGAGCCCCGTTCTGTTGTGATTATAGAACTTCGCTTCACTCCCCTCTGAAACTGATGCATGCAAGATCATGTTATCAGTATTATAGAGTGATATATTAAAAAGTACTGCCTTTACATGGACGAATTTCACATATGCACCATATGTACAAGTATATAAAATGGATACCTTGAACCTACCAGTCCTTGGTTCAGCAATGATGTTGATCAGGTAAATAACATCATAAAAACCACATGACACTTTAATTTTATAATGGTATTTAAAACTTTTTCCCAAGTATAGATTATAAGATGACAAACTCTTGAATTGGGTATGAAGAATTAAATTTGAATTGTTGAAACTCCATTTCCTGGTAGGACTAAGTTACAAGTTTTCTCATCGTTTGGTATACAAATTAGCTTCGTGTTATTTTGCATAATGATATGCAAAGGCTTCTTAGCATGTCTTAATTTTTTATTATTTATCTCAATTTGGGTGAATTTAGATGCCAGAGGATTTTTCAGGCAGGACAATTACTAAGTAGTTTATTGCCAAATTTGGAGAAGAGAATGTAATTTTGGCCCCTAATAGAAACTTGAATCATTGTTCAGTGATGAGACCAGAAGCTTGAAGAACTGGTCTTATGTGAATGGGAATTCTGCTCTGAAGCTATAAATTCTATTTCATAAATACTTTTAGCAGAACTGATTTTAATGAGGTGAATATCAGACATGTCCTATTCACAACTATTACCTCCAGGAAGTCATCCATACTGCTTTTTTCTGTTATCTGGCAGAAACCATATTTTCTGACCATTTTTTTTTTATTTTGAAGAACGAGCTTTTTAATTTGTTCAGTGCTGCCTGTTTACCTTCCAGAAGACCACATTTCATTTATAATAGCACTTTCAGCAAAAGAACTCAGTTTTTTATAGATGATTTACTCATTAAAGCAGCAAGCGCTGCTCTAAGACACAATGGTAATCCTCTTAATTTACAAGGTATGACTGCAAAATACGGAGATTGATTTTACAGTCACACATGGAAATTAGTCCCATCGCTCTATGGTCACATTCCTGATTTACTTTTGCTCTCGTCAGAGAGGTACTTGCTTTTCAGAATAGATTTGCACAAATCAGCCTTTTTAATCTGGCAATGCTGTTGTGGTTTAGCTATTAGACAGTTAATCGTTTTATTCAGGAATCCAGTGCCTCCTTGACCAGAGCACTATACTTGGATAAAGATATAGGGACCAAGATATGGAAGACATGATCTCTGTCTTCTTGGATTACATCCTCTATCACTTGTTACGTATTTATGTAGCAAGCTGTATGCTGGGACATACAGTTTAAAGTGAGGTAGCCACTGCCTCTAGGGACTCAGTTTACTGGGAAGGACAGTCGTGTAAACTAATAATCCAGTAATCAAAGTACAAGCAGCATGTGCGGGGTCGTGTAGGAGGTGGCATCCTAAGACAGAGGGAGAGTTAGGGCATCTACAGAAATCACCCGAAGCATTACTGTACACTCCTGTAAAATATACCTCCTGCAGGCTAGTTTATTGACGAACTGATACCAATCATGTTTTTAATTTAGCGATGCCACTTCCTTACTAAAATAATTAAGCCTGGCATTTGAACCCTGCTCTGTGACCTTCACATTGCTCCACATCCAGTGTATCATTTTACCTTTCTAGTTACTCTGGGAGCAGAACAGGAGGCGTGATCTGCTTTTACTAGAAGGAAGTCAGGATTAATGCATCTCAGGAGCCTAAGACCATGCAGTCAGTAAAAGGGCTGTTACTGCCCAGAACTACTGATATGTTTGTTTGTGTTTTTTTTAAGATTTTATTTATCTATTTGTCAGAGGGAACACAAGCAGGGGGAGTGGGAGAGGGAGAAGCAGGCTTCCTGCTGAGCAGGGAGCCCGATGTGGGTTTCAATCCCAGGACCCCGGGATCATGACCCGAGCTGAAGGCAGACGCTTAACGACTGAACCACCCAGGCGTCCCCACTGATTTGTTTTTAACTAGAAGCTTTTTCTATCATTCTGGCTTCTAAAAATATTTAGATTCTTATACCAACAACAGCCACATGACGACATCAAACAAATGTCACATGTACAACCTTTGTTTAAAAAAAAAAATCTTGAAGAACCTGTATTAGACCTAAATCTAGAATCAATGCTGTGATGATCCACTCTTCACATCTGCTTCTGTCAAACCTGCAGAGGCTCTCCCTTCTCTGAATCTTTTGCTGTTCTTATTTCCTTGGTAAAAATGTCTGTGCAGGAAAAAAAAAAAAAAAATC